ACATGACTCTTGTGAACTTTAAGCCATGTTAGAATGCTCTGCTCCACCTTGTGATGTCATGTATTGATAGTTTTTAAATTAACAGCTACCTTTTACCTTTTGTTCTGTGGAGTTTGGCAATTCCAGGGCTGGGAATCATCCAATTCTAGTCAAGGTGTACTGAGTTTTAAAACATAGTGGATCTTTCTGACAGAGTATTTTCCGTTTGAGATGAGGACTCAGTCTAATTATGCTGGATTTGTGTATTAAACATGTGTGAATGAAACAAAACACAAGTTGTTTTTTGATGAAGAAACAACATTATAACAGATTAAAAAGAGCATAATATGGGGCCTTTATATCAGAGTCCTGCATGGGTCTATTTTTGGAGTCCTGATTTAGTCCTGATTTAGTCCTGATTTAGACCTGATTTAGTCCTGACCGCCTGCATACTCGTCCTGTCAAATTCCAGAAAGTTAAAACCTGCCTGTTTCAGCAACTATTTGCCTGTACTCGTTAGGTACCCACAGGTACCCGAGGTATCGACCCGGTGCTTTATATATGCTGGTATTGGTTAACATTGAGTACTGGCAGATATTTAAAGCTTGAATATTGATATCGCTATTGGATCTGCATACACTGGATTGGTGTATCCCTACCCCTCTACTAGGAGAAGGCTGGGACTCAAACATCTCTTCAACCTTACACTACTTGTACTTTATAAACACTGCATCTCTTACACAGTTCATCACATCATTTACACTTTTTGAACACTGCACCTCTGCTCATACACATTTCATCTGTCCTGGATTCTTGGAAAACCCCATGACTCTTTAGAAACCTCTTTGTAGTACACCTTTTGATTACAACCTCAGATAACATTGTATGACTACATAACACCTCAGGGGGCCATGTTAGTTGTAGTTTTTATCAGTGCGAATGGAAAAAGAACACAACGTCTATCTATCTCTGTTGGAAGTACAGATGGCGTGTCTGCTAGTCAGCCAAATTCTTGCAGAGTTTAGTTGTAATCTAGCCTTGTGTTATCTTTTTGTATGCCTTAAGAAGCTGCTGATAACAAAATCAAACACTTTCTGATCTAGTGCTGTCATTTATGTTTTGATTTCATTACAAACTCAAATTTCAGAAATGAGAAACCACAAGGCGGGAGGGGGTCAAGTGTGTCAGAATTGTCATGTATTTTGACAGCCCAGTGCACTGACTTTGAACAGTTTGGGCAAGTTGAGAAGTGTTGACTCAATCTCCACATTTTTGGCTGTGTTCGCTGAAAAGAAAATGTAATTTAACAGTTTTCGCAGGACAAGCAGAGGACAGAGGATTCTTTTGTTCTGGAGTCAAGTGGGTGTGATTGTACTTGTCCATTATAAGTGTGGATGACATCAAAACCTAATTTAGAAAAAAAGTAACTGGGATTAAACATCACATCAATTTGTACGTGTACTTGGTAAATAAATACTAATTGTAGGGCACTCAAGTTTTTTTTTAATAATATTAGACATTTCCTGCATGTCCAAAATAAATTATACTGTTATAGTTTAGGGATGCACTTGCACATTCACCACATCAAAATTGGGACTAAACTGGTGTTGTCACAATACTAAAACTGAAGTTCAAACTTGATTTTGATACTACTACCAATTCCGATACCATGATGATAATAAAAAACACTCTTTGTTTTGAGAAAATAATGTAATTTTCAACATCAAAAATAGTACTTATATTAACAGATCTATCTGTGTAGTCCCTCAGTCGTGCAGGTATATGTGGTCTGACACTAATTCTAATACAGCTCAAGACCATTCTAAAGGTATTCAGGAAAAGTTTATTCTTTCCTATTGATTGTTACTTATGAGTATCAATACTTGTTCAAATGAGTTCAATATTAGTTTTAATATTGATTAGTATCAGACTTTCCAGACTTGACAACACTAAAACAGAACTAAACCACAAAATAAACCTGACTAGACCAGAAAAAAAAACATGACTAGAACAGGAATAGAATACAATACAGAATGCAAATTAATGCACCCTTAGATTCGTTTTAGATTACTATGGTTTACATGTCAAAAGAAATAAGAATTCTGTCAACTGAACAAAAGAGAAAGCTTCTTCAGTTCTGCTTTACATATATTGCCAAAATGTTATGATTTATTTAAGGTTACAGACATTTCTATAATACAGTTATTGACAAGAACCACACATGCATTCTAACACCTTTAAAACAAGTGATCCTTCACCCAGCTCTTACATTTCTAATAAACAATTTATAAAGTGTGTTTGTTTATGATCTCAAACAGAGAACTATCCTCCAACTATCTTAATCCTGTGCCAGGACACAGGGGCAGTAGTCCAAGCAGGACTCCCAGACTCTTACCCAAGACACTTCCTCCAGCTCCTCTGGAGAGACTCCAAAGTGCTCCCAGGTGGCCCATTTCTTTTGCAATCTTTTTTGCAATTGCTTTCAGCACAGCATAACTACTGGTCCACTCATAAAATGGCAAGGGACTGAGAAGGAAGTGCCTCTCATGTTGATGGCATGCTTAGCCAACTGTTGATATGATATGATATGATATAATATAGACAGTGCTGGGAAGAATATTATTATATTATTATTTAATTTAATATATTTTGTAACAGAATACTGAATACCTGCATTAAAATGTATTTTGTAACATATTCTGATACATGCCAAATCTAAATACTGTACAGTGAATACAAAGTAGGAAACTGAGGCACTCAAAAAGTACAAAATAATTAAAAGCCTTTAATACCACATGGCAAATAAAGTTAAAATCACACCAACGTGTTTCAGCCCTTCGGCCTTCATCAGGGCAAAACGGTTTTGATGCCTCAGTTTTTTCCTACTTTGTATTTGAGACGGGTCCCTACACTGACCAAAAGGACAATTCTGCACATTTTTGTATATCCACGTAGCACTCCTGCATCCCAAAGCTTTGCACTGTACAGTGAATACTTAATAAATAATACATATTTTTCCATTGAGTTGCATTTGATTTATAGTGTAAAGATGCAACATAAGATTAAAACAGCTTTATATTCGTTTCACTGTTTTTAAAGCAGATCACACATGCACTAATCACAAGAGCGGAGTTGTCAGTTTTTCTCATTAATTCTGTGCAATCTGAAGCCTGAATTACATGATCAAATACCATAATGTATTCCTTTTGATTTTAGATATTTTAGTGTGTTTTGTATTGTATTTGTAAATACCACCAAACGAAAATATAACTGTACCAGAATACAGTTACTCAGAATTAGTATACAGGTATTCATTTACTTCCCAACAAAGGATATATAATTTCAATTGAAGAATGCATACATGCACATCATATGAAACTGGATAAGTCTCATAGACACAGAACAATCTCATGACCTATCTTGTAAAAGTGAGTTCTGCAGCTGTCCCATTGTGTAAGCTAATAGCCCTCATAAAATGGGCTGTTGTAATCAGCACTTAAAACTGATAAGGTGTCTACAGTAAATGCCCGGTTTTTCCTGTCCTCTCCCTCTTTTGCTGATCCATATAGTATACTGTCACTGTAAACAAACATTAGAGACATTATACAATACAGCTCCCATTTCACTAGCCTAGAGCACATTTAGCTGCATCTGATAAGGGGCGGGTCTAATGGGATGATTGACAGAAGATAGAAACTCTTCTGTAAACAAATGATGATAACAATCTTACAAAACAGCTGGTGTTTCATCATAAACAGGATTTTCTCCAAGAATGTCAAACTGTTTACAATTTCATGGCCCACTGTACGTCATTGACTTCTTGGATTTTTAGGTCCTCAGAAAGTATGCAATAACTTAGTATAAGCTTTGTGTGAGTAACAAATGATTTACCGGAAAAAAATTGTTATTGACCAACATGGGGGAATTTGTTCATCCCATAATTTTTTTGGTTGACAGATTCCCCTAAAATATGTACTTGTGGTTTTAAACACATACTAAATAAAGTATTATTTTAGAAAATTGAAAACAGAAGCCACTGATAGATAAGATAAAAATACACTGATCATGTTGAATAGAAACCTTATCTTTTAAAACTGAGGTGATTATCTACAATGACATATTTGGGGATCAGGGACACGCATAGTCCGTTTGTATCAGAAATAATATCACAAGGGGCTGAAAAATATTGCAGATTTCTACAGAATCAGTGAGTGAAGCATTCAATTAATCTGAGGTTAGATAAATTTGGGTATTGTCACTAATGGAAATGATCAGGTTCAGCATTTGTTAATTTTCCTTTTGGATCTTTGTTATGGCAATACAATGTAACTCAATATGGAAAACTGGCTCTTGTTCCCATGTGGGATTGTAACATTACATTGTACAATCTCTGAAAACCACAAACAGATGTACTGATAACACTACTTGGATTCAGAATTGAAGTATTGAAATCGATAGTTGAATAATTTTAAGATATTGAATTGTGATATTGGGCCAAAAAATATTACTGGCTAATGTCAAATGTTTATATTCACTTGAAAGTTAGAGGTAAAAAATGTTTGTAGTAATTTGCATCAGTTTGACATTTTCACTGTAAGAAAGTCTCAGTCCTTGCATGTGTCATCACTATTTTTAATTAATAGTACATTTATTAATTCTGACATCCCCATCTGACCCACTTTCACAGTTAAATTTCTCCAGTAATACCAAACAATGTGAGATATTTTTACCATCCACAGAGAATGTAACCGACTGGTGCGATCTGGCAGAAATCCTCGCTGCCTGTTTGTGCTACACTTTCAAGCTGTGATCCGGATTCTTATTCTTAGTACCATTTCACATTTGGTGTCTTAATACGTCTCTATAGACAAACAACACATGTTGGCTCAGATAAGTGGTCCCAACCATTTGTGCGCTTGGAGTGAGTTGGGGGGGCTATTTGTGGAGACATGCAGATGCACTATTATGTTGCCAGCTCTGTTGCATAATATCTTTGTGTGTATGTGTGTTTTCTTAGAGTACGGGACAGAAGAATGGGGTGATGAGGAGCAGCCTCTGTTGACCTCAATGCAGACAACCAGTGATGGCCACAGCATCCCCGCAAAAGTGAGTTCAACATTTAGTGACTTGGTAGAGCTGCAAGGATGATATGATAATTTCACCAAAATGCCATAATTTCCTCCATAAACAACAAAAATATTTGGTGTTCTTCTGCATAAAAACTGCACCCATGTAGTTTAGGTCTATACAAACATGTTCTGAAACATCAGTTCATATTTCAGTCTTTTTTCAATTTTTCTAGATGCATTTCAAATGTGAATTTCAAGCATTACTACTATAACTAAAACATAAATCACAAATCTAATCTCATTTGCAATGACAGTAGATATTTCTCTCAAATAGGGCTACACAATATACTAGTATCTACACGAATTAAGCAAATAACAAAGGATGCAGCTGTACTGCAAGCAACAACTGTCTTCATATAGGGGAAAATATTCTCTCTCAAATGTTAATGCTTTAAAATGTGCACAATGACCTCAGTTCTGATTTGGAAAAATAAATTTCAAATCTAATAGAAACTGCAGTACATACAAGAGTTATTTCATTAGTTAAGTAATGCAACTATATCCCTTGCAAAATATACCCAGAAAACAATTAACATTTTTGGAAACGTGTTGGTCCATCTCTTCTTCAGTGTCCTCTCAAATATTGTTTTAACAGTGGTCACTCAACCAATCCTGGACGAAGGATGGATTATTGTAAGATCCTCTACTATGGATATGTTACAAAGATACATTGAGAATCAAATTCTGATTTGATTTGACAGAAATACATAGATACATACAAGTATACCTAAAAAGCATTTGTTAACATGAATATGTTATGAATGAACTATTGACAAACACATGAGGTAGTCTTGAATTTTAAAGCACCTCTGATGCAGGCTAGCCTGTGTATAATTAGATATAATTCATGCTCAAGGGTTTACAAAACAGGATTAATTAGAATTTGATTTTAGCCTGTTAGGGCAGACTTGTATGACCTTTGCCCCTGGATACACTGTGTTCTTTCTTCCTATAGCTGTGTCATTGCATAAGCTTCCCAGTAAAATCCTCTTTCATCTTTAGAATAAGAGTACTCATATCTTCTTTTAGTTACAATATAGCACTGCAAAATATAATGCAATGAAGTTGAAATTAGTATAAATATGGCACAATTTCCAAATCGCACAAAGTTTTTTTTTTTTTGTCCACTATAAATAATAAAATATTTAATTAAACTTTTTTCTAACTTTTTTTTTGAAAACACACGGGATTCTTGCATTAGTTTTGCAGTTTATATTTGCAGTCTTCTCTCAGATATTACTGCTCATGTACGTGTTCAAAATGTTCACTGTTTATGGAGTTTGGATTTGAAAAAAATAACTAGCAAATCTTATCTGTATAGCAATACTTGCAGAAAAAAATTTGATGTTGAATTTGATTTTTTTCCCCTCCATAATTGTGCATCTCTATTACAATATCTATTTTTGCCTTGAAATCATGAATATCTGCTCTTGTCTTTTGCAGTTCGTTGGATGACATAATCGACTCTGAAGAACAAGGGGAGCACTCGGAGTTCCTGAGCTCTGTGGAAAAGATAGTTCTCACCATCTTCCTGTCCATCATCATTATTATGACTGTGTTCGGCAACCTGCTGGTGATGGTGGCCCTGTGCAAAGACAGACATCTCCGGTAGGTATAACAAAACACAACCATTAAAACATGTACTATGCTAAATTAATTACCATGTTTATAATTTTCCTGAACCTTAGTCTTCTCAGTATTTTCATTGATTCTTTCACACATGTTTGAGGGTTTTATGAGTCTATCTCAGCTCAAAATGCTCTGTTTCACGTTGTAATGTCATGGAACAGTAGTATTCATCCTAATGATTGAAGTTGTGTGGAGTTTAAAAACACACCAGAGCACTTCCTATATGAACACGTAACATCACAAGGTGGAGTGTCTTGTGTTTGAAAGAAGAACTTAGCCTAAATAAGCAGATGTATGTTGGTTTGGCCCTGCTCTAGTCCTGGGTTAGTCCATATTTATTTTCAGGTTTATTCCTAGTAAGAATGCTCCCTTAGAACAAATAATGATATACATATAAGAGAGATTATCACTATACACCACAAAAAGCATAATATTTCTACTTTAAATTACTATATGGCCATAAAACTAACTACCTGTATATCACTCATCCATTTAACGCAGAGCAGTTTTTGTTTACAGTTCTCGGTTTATGGCTTTCTCCACTCGAGTACCCTTAGAAAGCTATCGTAAAAATATCTCCTTTTTCAAACACAATCCATTCCGTGTGACTTACATGATGGAGAGTCAGAGTAGGTTATTGGCATGGCCTGCACATAGTTTCCTCTTAGTCCTTCTAGGAAAGTCAGTTGGGAAACCACATTAAAACTGCTGTAGTGTCTGGGACTGTAAAACTGTCATGAGGAGGAACATGCAGCTCTCTCATGAAGCTGCTGAGGTCATAAAAAGCATGTGACAGCAACAGGTTAAGTGGTTGTTTTGAGTTGATATCTGGTTGGCAGATATATTGGGTCGATATTTGACTTTTTCAGCGTATAGGCTATCGGCCTTAAATCTCAAGCACAGGCCGATATTTTGTTTTGAGTAACTCACAGCCCAAAAATACCCATAGAGCTTTATTTGAACACTTTAGTGCAAATGGATGAGTGCTGAAAACATGACTATGGTGCTTTGTTATGGGTTTGTGGTAATTTTTTTTTTTAAAAAGCCGGTGGGTCTTTAGTAAATATAAATTGCTTAATGAATGTGGAGAAAAAATAAATTTGTCCTAGAGTATGTTGCCTCAAAAATATTGGATGAGCTTATCGGCCATCAGTTGCTCCAGATTCTAAACAACCTATATTGGCATCAGCTATGAAAAAAAAACAAAAAACATATTGGTCAGGTAAATGTAGGGGAGAATTGAAAATTATCAGATTTGAAATTAAAATTTTTAATTATTCACAATTTTCACTTTGTCTGAGGGATTGTAAAGTCAGAGTCCTCTTGTACTGTATTGTGTTTGTTATAATTTTTACTGGTATAAGTACCAGATTCAGCCATTTCTAATAGTCAGTAATATCCTTTAATGGAGAGGTCTACACCCCATCCTCTGTCAGTAAAAGCATGAGGGTTGCAAAAGATTCAACCCCAAATCTTCACTGAGGTAACTTAGATTTAAATTCTAATATTGGAGCACAGAATCTCTGTAACTGCATAATACTACTTTACTTGTGTAAGTAATACTGTACTGTCCATTTTTACTTTATAAAAACAGCGTATTTGTCTTTCAGTAAAAAGAAGACAAACTACTTCATCGTGTCTTTGGCGTTTGCTGACCTGCTGGTGGCGCTGGTGGTCATGCCCTTTGCCGCCATCGAGCTGACCACAGGGGAGTGGCACTACGGGGAGATCTTCTGTTTGGTGCGGACATCTTTGGACGTGCTTCTCACCACAGCGTCCATCCTACACCTGTGCTGCATAGCGTTAGACAGGTCAGTGTGAGTGGAGAGAGTCTGTTTTGATTAAGTGGAACAAAAGGAAGCATTCTTGGAACTTATCATGAGGAAGGGAAATTTGAAAAAAAGTGTTCTTAGAAAACTACACTTAAGATTTCTAGTTTTCATTTTTTTTTAAAGCAGTCCAAAGCAGAGTAAAATAACTGTATTTTAAGCATTAAATTGTTTTCAAATGGTGATTCTAAAACACAAATATAAAAGGCATATTCTCAGTTGAATACATATTTGGACCTGTGGGGGATGGGGGATTTATCTGTCTCCACAGAGACAAGCAAGTGGCCCCACAAGGCCAAATTACAGGCCGGCTCTATGGAAAGGCAATCCTGCTGACTGCAAGAGTGCTTTTTTTTTTTAGCCACTATAGCCATTTTTTTTAGCTAAACACCCATAGGCTAATGCCATACTGCCATGATTCCATACTGTTGAATAGTAAAGCATTAACCTCTCCATGGACAGAAGCTAAACCAGAAAATTACATAGTGCACTTTTAAAGACTTTGTCCAACTTGTGTGTGAAAATATGTACGCAATTGAGAAGATTTGAATTTTGTGTGTTCGGATTACACTGATCTGATACTAGTATAATATTTGCTGGATTGGATATCATCATCCAAATATGGATTTAGTCGATATCCTGTTTGGAAATATATATTGATGTAATAAGACAATTTACATTTCATAGTGTGTGAAAGGAGGAACACTCCGTCATCACGGTTAATTCAGTCCCTGCCTCCTTTCCTGATTTTAATGGCCTCCCTGATCCAGTGTTTGAGACAACTGGATGGCGGGAAGCATGGTCAGTCTGAGTGACCTGCCAGGTCCATCAAGCTGACCACACCTACAGGAAGTCACAACAGCTGTTATACAATACGTCACTACCAACACATGGATCTATTGAAATAACTGGATAGGGTACTGCTAGCTTGTAGCTGCTTCCAGTTGACATAGTGGTCACTCACTGGTACTACAGTGGAAAAAAACCCATGGGCTGAGACAAGAATTTTCTCATAGAATGCACTGTAATCACAAACTGCTCATGTTCGGCTGAAAGGGCACCTACGACTTTCATAAATGTCAGACTTTGTGGCGATTTTTACCTATTTTTAGATCATAAACTTTTTCTCAGCTCAAAATCCTTTAGTTGTCTTAAAAAACACTTTGTAATCATTAGCTCCAGCTCCGCTCTAGCTCCTCTCGCTTTGATTGGTCAAAGCGATCACATGATACACAAGACCGCACTCCGTGCATGCGTTCACGTGCATTCGTGTGTGCCCGCTGGAGAAAAGAGCACTACTGCATATGCTCGGTCGGTCCACAGCCACCAGAAGTACCTAGCCAGGCTAGGCTAATTTGGGATCATGTGCCATTGATCTCAGCCCATTGACTTGAATGGGCGGCCATTTTGAAACCCCAGGGCTTGCACCAACACTAGTGACAGTTCTGAAGAGGACTTGCAGCTAGCAGCCGAAACATGTCAACAAGGTTAATACACTTACTGTATTGTCTTTAAAAAGAACCCAATAAGTAATTTTAGTTTTGTTTAAAGGAAATAAATGCTTAGTCTTGTACTCTTATTGTTTTTTATCAGGTATCTGAAGATAGTTTAAGATGTATGGAAATGGAACTCCATATTGGATCTAAAAAGGCTGGTTCAGTGCATTCCTACCTTAGCTAGAAACTCTTAACAATTAAGATGCTGGTTTAGTTCTGAAGACAGGACACTGCTCCTGACTGCTTACCTCAGGAGAACTGAAGGAAGGTTCTAAAGCAGAGGGTACATTCTTTTATGGGGTAAACAATAGTACACCAGTTTTTATTTAATATTGTTCATGAAATACCTTCTTATTCCAGGTATTATGCCATCTGCTGCCAGCCGCTGGTCTACAGACACAAGATGACCCCGGTGCGAGTGGCTGTGATGCTCGGTGGCTGCTGGCTCATTCCCACTTTCATCTCTTTTTTACCCATCATGCAAAGCTGGAACGCCATCGGCATCGAGGACATAGTAAGTCATTTAGGCCTTTTTATTTTACATTTTACTTGATAACATCACAATGCATCGGGCAAAGGGATTTCATGTACCTCCTTTAAAAGTCCCCCTGTCTAATATTGTCTGTTTTTAATAAGACCTCCAATCCTTCCACAATGACACAGTAATGCAGTGATCACAAAACAATTCGAGTCCCCAGTGGAGGCTCTCTAGCTCCGAGCAGCTAGCTAGAATTCTCTCCTCTCTTCTGCTTTCAATGTGTTTGGGGCGTTTGTGGAGTTATTTCAGAGATGGCAGAGACACCCAGAGGCAGGCAAAAAAGACAAAACGCTTTGGCCAGACTCTAAGAAATTCCGCCCAAAAACAATATTATGTGAAAAGGGTGGCTGTGTCGTTTTTCTCACCGAAAAAACAGACAGTGAGAAATGGTGCGGAATGGCAATACAATTCTGTTCATTCATAGATATAATATAAATAAATACTGTATATATTAGAGGTGTTTGTGAGTAATGGTTAAAAGGGATGCACTGATCCAGCTTTTTCATTTCCGATACCAATGTCCATACTTTGACTTAAAGTATCTGCTAATACCCAATATCAACCAATACCAGTGTATGTATGGAGTATGGGGAATGGCACTTATCACTTATTATTACTTATGTATTTACACAAGAGATCAAATTGCCTTATGTGACTGCCGTTTATCCTTCAAATAGCTAGTGAACAGATTTGTATGAATAAAAGTCCAAATATTATAAGACATTCTTGGCCAAAATCATCTTGTACATATTTAATATTATATCCAACTACAGGCCCAACCAGAATATTGTCTTAACCCATGTCATGGAACCGATACCTGATCCAGCAATTTTTTTGTATTAGCACTGATATTCAGTACTAGTATCAGTACATCCCTGAGGATTAATAGGTTAGTCGCTGTTTTTGTGGTAAAAGTGACGGGATAAGAAGAGAATGTGAGTTATGTGGAGATTTGAGAGTGGCTGGACAGTTTATTCTTGCTGTGCTTGAAGTTGTTTACTGGTACTTCTCTGTATATACTAGCAGTCGTTTTTAGATCCTAATGAGTTTGAGAACTTACACCACAGCCTCTTTCATACAATTCATCAATGCACAACGAATTTATTGTATTTGATTATTACTATTGTTTTATTCTTCTGTAGGTTTTTAGTGTCCTTGCTACAATTTTTGGGTGAGATTCATATGAGTCAGAATAAACTTTAATTACTTTATTTGTAGTTGATTGGCACCATTAAGTGTAATGACTATAAAATTTGTTTAAAGATTTGGATACAGCTCACTGTTTTTTAGAGTCTGTATTGTCCAGTTCAATACAATTATTTAAATGTGATTGCTATTATTTTAATAGTCAGCTATCCACAGTTATTCCAATAAAAAATAAGTAACTGTTTCATCATTTATAAGACTATATTTTTATTAATGTTACTTTTTGACCCACAAATACCAAATTGGTTCATATCAAATGTAATGTAATAAAGACAGACTGGTGGTTAACAGTGAATCACTAATCGTGCGATAAACCGATTATTGTGCGTACCCTATTTGATGCATTCATCATTATTATGGCATTATGCACAATCAGGAGTAATGTTGTGCTTGGAGTATTACAGTAAGAGGTCTGGAGCTTGACTCTGGGCTGACCTTGTTATGGTGCCATAGACCTATTCATCTCATGGAGACAGTGTAAGCATCCCAGACAGAAGCTTCCTGTGCACCCTTTCACTGGAGATCTGGCTGTATTTCATCAAAAAGCCAGCATCTAAAATACACTGTTGTTGAACAAAGAAAAAGATGAGATATCTTTTTCATAATGTTAATAGGGTTTGTATTACAAATTTCAAATGTGCTTGACTTGTGTTAACAACTGTAGGAAATATGATTTGATTGTTATACAAGTTGTTTGAAGTCAGTGGCTTGAACCTAGTACAAGAATGCCAAAGTGTGACCACATTTTTATGAAGAAGACATGCATTGATGGTTGGTTCCAACAATCAATATGAAAGTACTGGGGTTAAGTATTAGAGTTTACATAACATAGCTATTAACTGTTAGAGTTAAGCAGCGTATCCATGTCCTGACCTGTGTGAGGGCCTAACGTGTTTATTCAACACTGGGTACTTCACTGGTATCATCAGGACTTCAGTGGCAAAAAGTCATATTTTTGCCAAGATAATCTTTAGGAAATCAAATCATCTTGGAAAATATGTGTGGTATTCTTCACTACACAAGACACAAGAAGAAAAAGGACACGACTTAGTAATTTTTATATTGCCATTACCTAAGACGAAAACTGCTTCATCCTAGAGTTCACACCTCACTGCGAGTGGTTAAATCCGACAAAGCGAGCAAGTGTTTTTGAGTGTGTTTGAGTATGAATGTTTTTTAAAAATCACAACAATACAAATAGTCTGATTGTCACAATTGTTTTTTTATACCATCACTGCACACCCCTTGATGTCACCTTGTGAAATTGCAATAGAACAAAGACAGCACATGAATCATTGGACAAACAGGATCAGTATGATTGTACTTAAAAATCACTCACCATTACTGCTTATCTCCACATGACCAATCAGTCTTGTCTTATACAGATCGCAGAGCGGCGGGCTTTAGCTGGCGGTGCTAATGACACCAGCTGTGTGTTCCTGGTGAACTGGCCGTACGCTCTGATCTGTTCGGCTGTAGCCTTCTACGTCCCTCTGGCACTCATGATCCTGGCCTACCAGCGCATCTACGTCACCGCCATGAGCCACGTACGCCAGATCGAGACCTTACAGCGCGCAGGCTCCGCCCCTGTTTCCGGAACGACACCGATCATGACTGTGCGAGCATCCACTTCTTCGGACCCCCTGGACCACTACAGACTCAGGCCACCCCATGGTGCCGTCCCCTCAGAACACGGTCCCATGGTGAACAGTCGCATGAGGATAGAGACTAAAGCAGCTAAGACTCTGGCTGTGATCATGGGCTGCTTTTGCCTGTGCTGGGCACCATTTTTCATCACCAACATTGTAGACCCGTTCATTCACTACTCAGTGCCCTGGCAGCTGTGGACAGCGTGGTTGTGGCTGGGGTATATAAACTCAGGACTTAACCCCTTCCTGTACGCCTTCCTGAACAGGGCGTTTCGGAGGGCCTTTCTGGTCATCCTGTGCTGTGGGGACGAGCGCTACACACGGCAGGGCAGCCACTCATATGGACACACCAACAGAGCGTGCTCCGCCGCATCGGTCAACGGGACGTCCATGGCCCTCAGGTATGGACATATACTTCAAACTGTTCACACATACATATTCTAAGAATGATGATGCATATGCCTAACCCCTTTGTCTTGCCATGTTTTAGTTAGTCAAATCTTTCTTCAGTAGGTTTTGCAGTGCTCTATTTTTCTCAGTCAGCTGTCTATAAGTAACACTTTTTAATGTTAGTGTTATGGCTTTCCAATGATTCGTTCAGTTTTTGTTTTGATTTATTTATAATTATGTATTTAGTATAGTATGCTGGCTGTTAAAATGGCCCCTTTCTTTTTAACAGGAAACACCATTTCTGCATCAGTATTCATATAGAATCCATGGCTGAAGATAGGTGTGTGTTTGCACTCTCCTGAGGTAAAGCTACTAAAGCTTACAAGATACTGCTTATCTTGTCAGCTGTGTGTAGGATAAGCTTAAAGTTCAAACCAAGATTATTCAGTTTTAGTGAATGGCTTTTAGTGCTCATAAGTAAGAAAAAGCTGGATTTTTTTACTGTAATATTTGAAGTAAGATTAGAAAAATTTGCTTTCGTTTGAAGAATTTCTTTGATTTTTTTCTTTTTTTAATCTGTGAAGAACTGTACTGAGAAAAAAATCTTGGCAGGCTAGTTTTTAATTGTTCCATTTACAATGAAATTATGAGGTGAAAGGTGAACTATGAAGAAAACTCATAAATGAATTATTAGAAAATCAAATCCAAAAGAATTTTACATTTTAATGACATTTACTATTTTCTTTATTTAGTATTACCTTAGGTATATATATATATATATATATATATATATATATATATATATATATATATATATATATTATATATATAATAGATAGATAGATAGATAGATATAGATATAGATATAGATATATAGATAGATAGATAGATAGATAGATAGATAGATTTTTTTTTTTTAATACCAGCATCTACACTTTCTTTTCTATACATTATAATAACTATGATTTATTTTCTATTTCTGTCAAAACACTTGTGGAAAAAAACAAAAAGCGTTGGGGAAAAAGACCACCATCACTACAGTTTTCCAAATCATTCTTTTCTAGGCAGTAATCTGATTAGAATCTCTGAGATATAATCATATATTGTTTCAACATAACTTTTAACTAATGTGATTTAGCAAGGCGTGTGTTTGTTCTTTTTGTGGCTTCTGCAGAAGTATGATAGAGGAGGAGAGCTTCTAGTGGTTGTCTGTGTTTACCTTACACTTAGGCCCAAATGCACAAGAAACCAGAGGATCCATGGATAATTTTAGACATTTTTATTTTGACTGAAAAGATGTACTATAGTCATCACATATAGAGTGTTATTTTTATATATTTTTTTAGGTTTAGGGTCCCAAATCATCTTGCATACTTAGCAGTCTCCAATGAATCAAGTTTAACAGTTTTAGTTGTGCAGTGGCAATGTGTTTAGCCTTTTTAACTTTGTTTCAAGAAGGTCCCGGGTTCAGTTCATGACATGTAAAATCTAGGGTTTGTATGTTCTCCCTGTGTCTTAGTGGATTTCCATTGGTTGCTTCAGTTTCTTCAGTTTCGATATCAATCTCATAATAGGCTACTCCAGCTAGGCACGCCCAACTATGCTAGATTCCTCTCAAGAGTAAAAGTTTGCCCTTATAGTTCATCCATATGTTTTTAAAGAAAGTGACAAATTTACTGATCTATTTACTGAAGATCTATGAAGAAAATTTACCCCTGGAATACATCACCAATTTGTGTCCACTGTGTACTTCTTATTGATATTTTACAGTGACATCATGCGAGGGGGTGTTCTACATGTACCTCTATGATGGAATGTTCAGCAGTTATCATGGAAATACCATGCACTTATTAGCAAATACTGTTAGAAAAGTTTTAAAATTGATTTAAGCAACACATATTCAGGAGACCGTGATCAGTACCAGCGTTAACGGTCCTGTTCAAAGGTGGTGCTACCATTAGGCAAAAGTAAATGGCTGCTGAGGGCCCCCGAACCTGGAGGGGCCCCCAACCAATTGCCATCAGTGCCACTAATGGCCGAGGCCTCAGAGCTCAGAGCAATTAAATTTTCTCTCAATATGACACTGAATGAGAGTAGTTTATTTTTAAACAATAATCATAAAAATAACAAAAAAATCATAATCATATGTAATGGATGTAAATAAAAATGTAATTGTAATTGTACTAGCAAAATTGTACTAGGCGACCTAACTAATAAGACACGTTTCCAATCCATCATAATTGAAATAAACGGAGATGTGCATGTCTCAAGAACAATGTGGAAAAATAGACAATAAATATATTAAAACAAAACAAAACAATGGTGCATTATAGTGAGAGCCCCAAACTCAAGTTCGCCTAGGGCCCCCAAATTGCTAACTCCGCCACTGGTGCCTGTTAAGTGATTTTGAGCAAAAAGGTGAGCGTGACTGACTGAAAAACTGTTGGCTAATGCTAGCTAGCTTGTAACTGTAATTTGTTTATGAAAGAGCACAGAACTTGTAGTTCTAGCTAAATCGGATCTTTCTGGTCAGATTGTGTTAATTCGTAGCTCAGATTCTATAAGTCTTACAAAACGTCTGACAGAGCAGTGCCTGCAGTTACCATTACACCCCCAGGGCATGTTGACATCAGCTGCAAAACATAAATCTTAGCTGTTTCTGTCTAAATGTTTTGTCTTTTGTACTAGCATTGTATACACCTTTTGTCTCTTGTAGATGCAGAAATGAAAAGGGTGACTCCAATGATGCCCTCTATCAAAATCTATGGTGACTCAAAACAGACTTAGCATAATCCGATTACAGCTAAAAAGAGTCCTCTGCCATGGCACAAGAGACATGGTTAGAAAAATAAACATAAGTCATGTTTCAGGTCATAATAGAGCTTGTGTTTTTTCTTCCATTGGGTGTAAAAAGTCAAGTTCACTGGCACCAGGTCAACAGTAAATACTACACTAGTCTGCTGTCCAAATATTCCAAGTCTGAAAACATGATTCTGTATTTCCATGTTATTTAAAGGTGCATTATGTAACTTTTCTAGAAAGCCACTTCTTTATTTCCGTGGAGATGTTATTCATTTATCTGGGGTGTTCAACCCATAGATTGTATAAAAGAAGTGGACTAAGCGATGTCACCCATAGCGTTCAGCGCCGCTCAAATGAGGCTCGCAATGCTCACGGTTACAGGGGCGAATCTGGAGCCAGGCTCTATGTTATGAATAGGATTTTGTAGATGGACAAAATAGCGAAAACAACATTCAGGCTCATATAGAGGGTTAATATGAAAAAAAGACCAAAATGACAAGGCTCACTGCAGCAGTTACAGAGAGAGGCGACATCGTCAGTCTGGCGTAATAACAGATTTACTTCGGGTGCTTTGTAGAGTGGGTAAAACTGTTTTTAGTGGCAGGCTAACTATGGCTATTGACATGCACTAGCCTAGCACCAGCGACCTCTGCAAATACAAGGACTGGATGGAATATTTAAAAAGTGTCTCCACATGTCTCCAATGCTCTGGCTCACTAGGAAATGAGGTCCTGTGTCCAAAATTACCATCCCTTTAAACCATGTTATAATTTTACTTCATCAAAAACATACGTGGAGTTGTCACACATGTTTGAGTCAGCCTTTATTATTAGTCATGTGATCTAAAAACTCAATATGCTCTGTTCCACCTTCTGATGTTATGAAGCTTTGGTTTTCAATTTAACAGTTACCTTTTACCAAGTTAACAGTTACCCTTTTTCATCCCTGGCTGAAATAATGCAAATGAATGTAGTGAATCATAATGGAGCACTTCTTGTATTACACAACATCACAATTATAGAACAGAGTGTTGTCTGTTTGAGAGACTCGACTTGAAGAACTCGGTCTAAAGATGTAGTGTTTGTGTGTTAAGCGTGTGAATGAAACAAAACACAACTACAGGTACGTTTGTGATGTGGAAACAACATGACCAGAAAATAGCGTAATACATTTAAATAAATGGGTGGATGAGTAGCCAGTTCCAGAAGTGTGAAATTAATGAAAAATCTCCAATCTAAATAAAAACAATGTCTAATATTTTGTGTATTTCAAAATTAACAGGTTATCCAAAGTACAACATAAACAACATATAGTCTAGACAAGTTGTTTGCCATTTCATAAAAAAATAAATAAAAAAATAAAAAAAAAGATAATAATAATAATAATAATAAATTAAACATTAGCTCATGTTTAGTTAGTACATTTCTAGGAATAGGTGTAACAGAGCTGGTGGAAGGCTGGAAAAATAATAACATAAACAGAAATAAAACAGAAATTACACTTGCCAATCATTTATATTTTACTTACACATTTCTGCAAAGTTGGAGTGAAGAAAGACTGCAGATTGACATGAAGACATATTCCTAAGAAGTGTTATGTTGTTAAAATGACACCTGTACAAAAATGACATTTATTCTATTTACTTATTTATTTTTTCATGATTTCTACCTTGGAACATCTCATCTTCCCGTTTTAAAGCAGCTGACATTAGAACCTTGGACGGTGTGGGCTGAATGTGTGAAGCCAAACTATAAGTAATGGAACAGTGACAGGTGGCTGCTGCCGTAATGACCTGATTCCATGTAAACACTTGGATTGCTATCACATTTGAATATGCAGGGTTTTTAATGCTATGTATATGGATGCTAACTCCAAAGTAGACAAAAGACAGTAAATCTTCATTTAAAATCAATACAAAGGTACAATGTCACTGCTTGATCCCTTCCGTTAGGTGAATTTATGGACTTATAGTCGATATGATACTTACATACTTTAAATCTGGATTCAGAAGACAGCATCTGAAGGTATCATAGGACAACTGGGTATTTAATGCAGGTAATCAGATATTTGAAGTACTTTTATGCCTAATTTTGGTAATAAAAATCCCATTCTAAAAGCAATACAGTTTAAACTTAATATTCTATCTGAAATATGAGCCAGTATCCTTTGTATAAAATACTTTGCAAAGTAGCACAAGAATAATTGTATT